CGAAAAACACAAACAACAAAAAAACAAACAAATAAACACATGATGGGGGAGATGAGGGCTTGATTGAATCCATTCTGCGCGGTCCATTCCATAGCGAGCATTTTTCCAATGATGCCGGAGGCATAATTTCGGACCCGCTTTGCAAATGGAGCCGCTGCTGGAGGTCACGCGTCGGTGCTGATGATAAATTTTGCAATGCCCTGCTTTAAAGCGTGACAGGGAAGTAACAATTGCCTCAACGTATGTGATGCGCAGCGTTGCTGGCGCATGCCTGCCACAGAGAAACCATTTGTTAGTCCAGAACGCGCGGGATGCGGATGACAAATGGAAATCGACATTTGCAGCATCAGTGCCTGACATTGAAAAATAGCATCCTCCGACTCCCCGCTGCCGGCTCTCGTTGCCCGTCGGGCCCACCTGCCGCTCCCCTTGATGCCCTCAACCACATGAGAGGTACTCCTGGCAGTTTGGCGGGACTGCCCGCCAAGCTCCAACACTGGTTCTGTAACACTCTTGGTGTTCAGAAGCGTGCCGTCCACCGAGTACAGTGTTTGCTTTTGTTCCGGGCGGACGGCTGCTTTAAAGGTTCCCTGCAACAGTAGCCTTTGTTTGTGTCCACCGACAGGTGCCCTTAACGATTTTTCCCGCCCCCAGTGTGCTCATCGGAGATGTGCCGCACTCTTGGCTTGGTAGTGCTGGCGGTGTTCCCCGCTTTGGACGCGGAGGGGCCCGCAGAGAGGACTGACTCGCTCAGTAGGCAGCTTAGGGCCCCTACGGCGAGTTTCGCCAGTAAATGGTCTCATCCAAACAGTTCTTAGGGGAGCAAACGTCCTAACACAAGCTATGAAACCCCCTGAACCCCAAAAGGAGTGACGTCTGGGAAGGGTTTGTATGGCAGGTTGAGAATCTCAACCTGACTGATGAAACTTTCCCGGGCCATCGGGATGACGCCAGGAAACAGAAAACACCCATGCATACCTTGGAAACCCTGGAGCACAGGATCCTGTCAGTCAAACTCTTTGGTTTGCTGGTGGAATGGGTACACAAATGCCCTTCATGCAAATGGTGTTCAAAACCAGTGAGGTTTTGAGCCCTGGAGACTTTTGTGGAAAGAATTCCGCCCAAAGCCAGCCAACAGAGGCCTGATATGGAGAAGAGCCTTACTGAGCCCAAAGTTCCCCTCAAAAAAGGTGGAATTCAGCGCACCGTTGCAAGAATTGGAGCTGGACTTGGCTAAATATGCCAATGAGTTTAGGGATGAAAAAGCCATCTCTGATGAGGACTACGAAGCCCTCCTCATGGTTGAGAACAGCGCCTACGTGCTGGACGCTGTGGAGCAGTACCTTAACACCCTAGGGCACAAACGGGTAACTCTGCAGCTGGACGCCGAAAACGCTCCCAGAAACGTGGCCTGGGCCATCCAGAAAAGGATGGGCGCGGACGAGGTGAAGGTGCGGGAAGCGCCGTTTTACCCCCACCAAACGGCGAGCACAGCCAGCTTAGCCAGCTAGCGGGTTTGGCGCGCATGTGGCTTATGGACCTTCAAACCCGGTACCCGACTTGCATGGTCGACGTGGACCACGTGTATTTCCCGTGGTTGTTTCGCCACGTAGGTTGGTTAGCCGCGCGCTTCCAAGTACGCACTACAGACAAAACAGCCGCTTACCGGATCGTTTTTGGAGTAGACTACCAGTCACCCATGTGCGTTTTCTGGTGGAACAGGGATGGCAAAACTGCCAAGCTCAGCAACAAAAGCGCAGAAACGCTGGGTGAAAGGTCTTTGGGTAGGCCGGCTGGAGCGCGACAACACCAATATCATCCTCACAGAGGCTGGTGCCTTGACTGTGCGGTCCGTCCGCCGTTTGCCACCGGCAGCCCAAACCCAGGCTGCACGTGTGGGGACGAAGGTTGCGGGAAGCGCCGCCCCAGCGCAGCGAAGTGGTTGTTCTCCCGGCACCGCCGCGCAGAAACGACGAGCACAAGCGAGTGTACGAGGAAGACCGGTCGCGGCAGCCACCCGAGTTGGCCCACAACGCCCCAGCCGATAGGGTTGACAGAGAGGCCCTGCAGGTTGGAGCCGCAGTAGCCCACGAGACGCTAGAGACACCAAACTGACAGCACCCAGCCCGGAGTCCGAGCTCCAGGACATGGAGGACATGCTAGCCGATCTCGGCGAGGGCGCGGGCGCAGCCGCCAGCAGTGCACCGCCACCACCGGCAGCCAGCGCGGGCAGAACCGCCGTGAAGGTACCACCAGTCCCAACGGGTCTAGGTGAAGGGGGGCTGAGCCCATCCGCAAACCCCAGCAAGCAAGAAGGCACCAAGGGTCGGAGCGATCCTTGCCGAGGACCTTTGGAACAAAATCCAGGAGTGGGGCAAACTCGGAAAAACCGGGCAATCCGTTTGCAGAGCAAAGGTTCGCAACGGAAAAAACAGGGTTCTAGACCCGAAGCTCGTGAAGGAAGCGAGCGAAGCTCAGCTGCGCAAGCTGTGGAAGCTTGAGGCGTTTGCGCCGATGGCCCGACGAACCGTCCCCAGAGGGTCACACGTTTTCCACCACACGTGGGTAAACGAGGCCAAAGGAGGCGTTTACAAGTCGCGCTTCACGTGTGCCGATGTCAAGCACGGGTACACCGCCGAAGAGGAACCATACCTCAAGGTGTTTGTGCCAACTCCGATTCCTGAGGCACACAGCCTCCTGGAAGTCCGAGCGTTGCAGCACGGCCATGCAAAGCGGAGGTCTGACATCGTAGCCGCATTCCTCATCGGACAAGACCGGGGAGCGCAGACGGGTGAGTATGTCCACATGCGTGCACCGCCCGAATGGAAATCCATCTATGAAGAGTGGGTGCAGGAACTTCCGCCAGCCCAAAGGATACCATTCGAAGACGTGGTGTTCCGGCTGGACGGGAATCTGTACGGCAGACATACAGCAGGCTCGCTCTACCGAGACGAGCTTGCGGAAATCCTTCGCGGCAAGCTGAAGAAGACAGGCAGGTACGACCTTCATCGAGAAGTCAAAAAACTGTGCATGAAAACAGGCCTGACAGTGGTCCACCACACAGATGATGGACGCCGTGCGGGCAAAAGCGCCCTCCTTGACAAGCTGCTGGACGAGGACCTCCCGCAGCACTGCGAGATCACGTCTGCCTGGAGCCATCCTTACGGCACCAGATCCAGAACCGCACAGGGGGATGTTCGGGGCCAGTGCAATGTACGGTTCCAGTATGCGCTCCCTCGAATGTTTTGTCAATTGGATGCATGATGGGTGCACAGTTCTGTTTTGAGTCTTCGTAAGTCGGGCTCACAGCTTGTCACCTCGCAGCTGTGGCAGAGCGGGAGGGAAAAAAGTCTCACCTATTCAGATTTCGTTCGGATCACCACTCTAGACCCTGCGGCCTATGAAGGTCCGCTAGTGCTAAACCTTTTCCAGCGATTCGGATTGGGGGGGATGCGCGGAAACGCGCAGAAGCACAGACAGCCATGTGGTTGTGCTAGGTGGAGCTGTGATTACCACGACGATGCACACACAGCCCGGACTACCAGCAACCTTTGGTCCCGACGCTGAGCTTCGAGGGATTCGTAAGGCATGCCGCCGCGAGGCCCTGTTCGTTTACGAGCTGGCCACCAGAGACCTTGGACTCGATGTCCAGGTGCCACGCCTATGGAGCCATAGCTCCACCAGCATTACGGCTGCAAGAGAATAGGCCCAAGTAGCAAACTGAGGCACCTGGAAGTTTGTGAGTTTTACGTGCGAAGCGTGGTCCAGGCCGAAAGGGTACTGCTGAGGAAGGTAAAAGGTACAGAAAATCCTGGCAACTTCTTACCAAAACACCCCAGCACTGGCAAAGAAAAAAACATGCAGGAAGCCTTGCCATCTCTTGGCATGGCAAACCTTAAAACGGTCGCGGGCGCTACCGCTTTGCAAAAGCATTCCGTGAAAACAAAGCGGATAAACCCGCCTACACAGTGGAAACCCTTGCTTCCCCTCAGGCCCAGACTGAGCTTGATTGGTGTGACAACTGCCCAGCAAAAATCCTAGGCATAAAAGCCCAGGACCAGCAGGATTATGAAGGAGTCTTGGACCAGATTCGTAATGGAATCATCCTTCTAGGATTCCTGACTGGGCTGTTCCTCATTTTGGGAACATTGTGGTGCATAGCAAGGTGCCGCCACAGCTGGTGTCTTAGAGCGACCGAGGCCCCCAGGTGAAGGTGAGCCAGATGAAGAGGATGAACGTTTACCTCAAAAAGTTGAGCAGGGTGATGAAATCCTTGTGGATGAAAATCAGCCAGACGAAGATCTCAGTGAAGATAAGGAGGAGCAGGAACAACCTGCAGAAGCCCCAGCACCACAAATGCGGACACCTCGGGGGAGACTACAGGCCACCAGCCCCAGAGCCAGAGCCTGCTGACCAGCTGGGCGGGAATGTTGGCTGTGGCCGCCCAGCGGGCATTGGCCTGGTCATTGCTGGAGCTTCCCCTTGGTTTGGCGGACGAGTGCGATGGGGCCAAGCCGCCTTTTGCTGAAGTGTTGGCGGATGCCCGCCACACCTTCCTGGTGATGACCAGCCACCTGCCAGCCCGCCAAGGAGGCTGAGGCGGCGACGCGGGCGGAGCCGTAGGTTAGCGGTAGACCGGTAGACTTAGGGTTTCAAGCCTGACGGCATGGAGAGCTGTGCAGGTGCAAAAGTCTGAGCAAAAAAAACTGTCCTTCAGCAATTTGCACCAGCAGCAGCAGCAGCGGCAGCAGCAGCGGCCGCACCACCTCTGCCACCCCAAGGCGGGATGAGAAGACGAAATAGGGGTGCTAGGCAGATCCCATGGAGGGATCAGGGATACATGTACTATGCACCAGCGAGGCGCGCAGCCCACATATTCAGGAACTGCTCAGGATTTGCTTTTGTCCCTGATGCAGACATCCGACAGGCGCAGTGAGTCCCCATGACCAAGGGACTCACACATGTTGGGGCATGATATGATGCTGACAGGACCCCATATTTGGTGGATCACTGAAAAAAAATCACTGCCTCACACTGCGCTACGATGCCACTGTTGAACTGCCTGTCTGCATGGATGGGCACATCATGAGGGATCCCTGAGCGGTCCACTCCGCCATTTTGGCGGCCACCCCGCAACACGCGGGGAACACCGCATTTTGAGGGCCACACGGCAGGGTCTGATAACCTGCACCACCAGCACCAGATCCCTGAACCATTGAGGGCGGTGCGAATCTTACACGCCTGTAAGATAATTAGCGAAGAGCTAGAGGGCTTGGGTTAGGCTACTCCCTTTCACAATGGTTAATTCCGCAGCCCTTTTATGGCTTGAGAAACACTGCTTTGCCTGCTTTAGGCCTGAGCCCACCTAGGTAGGCGTTCTTAGGCTTCGCACTTTTGGGCCGGAAGGCTCGGACGTTGACCCCGGACTGCTCGGACTTCAACCCGCCCGGACTTCGGCCTGGACGGCCCGGATGTCGACCCGGACGGCGATTTTCTGGGAGAAAAAGGGTGGCGAAACAACCCTAATAGTCTGTAGTCTGAAAGCAAAGCTGAAACACTGGTCAGGCACGAGGCATCATTGTCCACCTTTTCCACAGAGCCAAAATTTCACAAGTGAAGGGGGGGACATTCAAGTGCCCATTTTCCAGCGGATTTCAGCCGAACAAACTGAGTCTTGATGGGTTGTGTCATATGTTCGCTTTACGGGGGGAGGGTTTGGATGGCTGATGTTTGAAGATGCGTTAAAAAGTTTTCATGGCTCTGTTTTTTCGCTTCAAGGGGGTGGGGGGGTGTAGATGGCTGCTGTCTGATGAAATGTTAGGATCTTTCATGTTGTCGCTTGGGACTCCGGGGCAGCGGTCCGGGCAAGAGTCCTGGCTGTCTGGGCCGCACGGGCTGGGTGTTGTGTGGCAAGTGCAGGAGTCCCTTTGTTCGCGTTAAGGGGGTGGTGGTGTTTGGATGGCTGATGTTTCACGACGTGTTAGGAGCCTTCATGGCCTTGATTTTTTCGCTTTGAGGGGTGTAGATGGTTGACGTATGATGAAATGTTAGGAGTCAAATTCATATTGCCGCTTGGGAATCCGGGGTAGTAGTCCGAGCCGTCGACGTTCTGAACTCCCAGCACAAGTGCTGAACCCCAAGCCCCAAACGGAAAGGCGGCGAGTCGTCAAGTTCCTTTGCAGCTTCCGGCTTCCTTGGCTTTCTCTGGGTACATGTCAGGGTTGGTCTCCTTTGCCAAATTGCGGCGCTCAGAATTTGCATGGCATGCTTGACAAAAAGCACGGGCCAAGCACTGGACCAACAAAGCTGCGGGAAAAGCCAACACTTTCTAAATCTTTTTGATAATTTTCACTGTGCTTGCAAAGTGGGTTTCCTGATTGCGCTTCAGCTCATCTGCCGATCAGCCACTGCTCTTCCCCTGGTCTCCTCCCCCCTCCTTCCGTCAGCTGCCTGACTGATCCACCCCCTCCCTCACCCTTGGCTGTGCTCGGCCCACTGTCTATTTCAGCTTCTACGGGCAGTGGGATGTACTTGGGGTGCCTTAGTGCATTGTTTTGTAACGTTTTGGCGCTGTTTAAGCCAACCACTGAAGGCTAATGACTTGGCTAATGACTTGGCTAATGCACCGGGGTATAGCTTGGATGGTGTGGTCATGACAAGACAGCCAATGAGTGAGTGTGAGTGAGTGTGAGTGAGTGTGAGTGAGTGTGAGTGAGTGTGAGTGAGTGTGAGTGAGTGTGAGTTGGTGTGACTGTGTTTGCATTGCGCAGGAGTGAGTGAGTGAATGATTGAGTGAGTGAATGAGTGAATGCATGGCTGAGTGAGTGAGTGAGTGAGTGAGTGAGTGAGTGAATGAAGTGAGTGAATGAAGTGAGTGAATGAGTGAGTGAATGAAGTGAGTGAATGAATGAGTGAGTTGTAACGTGTTGCGCGTCCGGCCAAAAAAGCATTGCGCATCAAAAACAAAATGACGAGTTTTACATTTCCACCACTGTCATACGACCAGAATTCTAGCCAAAATCGGTTTTTGCACCATTCCCTGATTAGAGCCAGTGTCAGACTTGTAATTTTGACACCGCAGCGCGTTCCTCGAAGCTGTGTGCGGAGATCTGCGCAGTTCCCGTCCTGGCCAAAGAACGTCGACCGGCTGCAGCCAAGACTGGGATGCTACTCTTTGTCGGGTGTTGCCAGCCAAAGCGCTGTTAGGAAGAAGCGCCGCCCACAGCACCTTTGCGCACAACACCTGCAAGCCCTGGAGTTTTGAGCAGTGATTGAGCAGTGATCAAATGTTGGCTGATTCAATCGTGTTCGGCCCCTGTTTACATGTTTGATCCGTGGTGGTGCCTGAGGCCGAGAAGTATGGCAGAATTGAAGGACAAACATGATGTGGAGCGGACAAGTGCGGTCATATGTGTGGCTGAAGGACCGCTGCACTCACCCAGACTTGAGCATCGATTGCGACGACGGTGAGGTGGCCAATTTTTCTCGCAGTGTGCGTGAACGCATGGGTTGGGAGCAGGTGGAAACCTGGGCACTATCAAAACACTCCTCCGATTGAAATTCTGCGGCCTTCTCTGTGGATTGGGAAGCTTTGTGATTGAAGCAGGGGCGGCCAAATTCACGTAACCATTTGCTTGCTCTCAGAACGTAGGCATATTCAGAGCCGCTGGCAGATGCAGGGGTAACACGGGCAGAAGCAGCTCTGCAGGTTGGAGAGCCGTGCGCTTGGCCCCAAACGCCATTGTCACCTTCGGAGTCCAGCCCTCAGATTTGCAGTCCTTGAGCCTAGAGGACATGTACTTTGAATCCCTGAACGGCAGTTGTGTCGCAATGAAGGCTTTTAGCGCCAATGTATGGAGTAGATTGGCGATTGCCGGCAGGTGCCAAAGCGAGAAGCAGATGTTTGGCAAGGGGCCTGTGGCAGGCTGCCAGCTTTTGCTTGCATGTCCAATGTGGTCTTCTTGCTTGAGCACCACCCGAATATGTCAGCAAGATGATTGCCAATGCTGATGTGTTCATCCTGGAGGCAAGAGTGACTTGTTGTTGCACGTGGTTTGCGCCTGCATGTCATGTGGATTCTGGATTTTGGTTTTGAGGGGCAATGCTGTGTGCTAGAACGCGCTCAGGGGCATTGGTTGTCTGGCCAACTCCCGCTGCCCCACATGCAGCACATGTGTGATGGTGTACGCCTTTGATTAATGTGAAGGCTGCACCGGCGGAAAGCAGCCCCTTTCTAGGGCGCTATTTGAAACTGCATTGGTCCA